AGCTCGGGAAACACCCAAAAATCATATCAAAAGGTCTTAGTTTGGTTTCTAATCATGTGCTAAGGCTTTTGGAAGTTACTTCGGGTCATAAAGTGTCATAAAAACACATGCTTTATATCAAAATGTCATCTAATCATGAAATCAAACATAAACCCTAAAATGCTCAAATACTCAAATCTTAACAAATCATCAATGTTATGAAAGCCTTAACACCACAAAGGATTACAAATATGCTACCTTGATGTTAAAAACCCAAAATGAAGGTCCTTTCTCAACAAGCTTTACTTCCTCACACTCTTCTTGAACTAAGATGATTCTCACCCCTTTCTCTAGCCAAAAAAAAGTTATGAGATTCTAAACATAAAGGATGTTGCTGGAGGGATTAGAGACGAATTATAAAGTTCAAAGGAATCTCCTCTAATTATGAAACTTAGAGAAGAAATGAGAGAAGGAAATGAGAAGGAATTGAAGAGAAGAATGAGATGAAAGAGATAAAAACTAGGGGTGATAAAAAATACTCGATTCGATTGACCCAACCCATTGACCTGAGCCTTAAAAAATCGGGTAATTCTCTAAAACAAAATTACCTGACCAGACTGGGTACTTGACCCGGGATTTTCTCCAAGTACTTGGGCCAAGTTTTTTTATAAACAGGTACCTGACTCGATCATGTAGTTTTAATATATATATATATATATATATATATATATATATATATATAGAGAGAGAGAGAGTGAGAGAGAGAGAGAGAGAGAGAGAGTTTAAATTATATTTTTTATGTTACTTAATATTTTATCTTAAAATTAAATTTAAATCCCTAAATTTTTCTTAGGTTTGTATTATTAACTTTTAAGTTTTGAATTTTTCAAAAAAGATTTTTATTAATTTGTCAATATGAGATTCGAAAGAAAAAATCATGATCGATTTTAATATTTTCTTTTGGAAATAAACTTTAATATATATATATATATATATAAATATATATAAATATATACACACACAAATATTTATCCTTAAGGTTTTAAAGGAAGAATCCATACTAGATGATGACCTTAAGAGGATGCAGCACAACCAATACACGAGGTGCTGTCTTGTTTAATTCTTCTCTTATGTGATACTCAAGGCGATCCAAACGAATCATACTACAGTCACTGTGGAAGAAGATGTTAAAACATTAGCAAAAGTCTAGGCAAATATGAAACGCCAGGTTTGTCTTTCATGCATGTATATATAGTGCACCAGACCATCACTACACATAACAAGTGAATAAGATGAGAATGTGCATATTCAACTTTCTAGTGATTCCAATTCCTTGAGCAAAAGAATTTATCGCAGTTGAAGTCACACCCCTACGCCGTAAACCAGCTAATGTCATGAGACGAGGATCATCCCAACCATCAACATATTTGTTTGTCATAATGTAGTTTAACTAAATCACAACATAGTGGATGCAAATCAGGCATTAACTTAATCAACTTAGTAAAACAAACAAACCTTAGATGCAAAATTATCTTATTTTGTTTCGCCTTCCGTTTAGACATCACAGTGTTTGTAACATTCAGTCGCGAGTTTTCCCACGCATATGGTTGGTAAAGGTCCAGTACATGTAACAGCCAATAGTATGAAGCACGCCTCGTCTCAAATTCAAGTGTACATAGCTACACAAAAGAGCCAAAATATAAATATTTTTAAGAATGACAACCATTTAAATAATCAACTGAACACTTTATAAAGAACTCAATAAACTATTTGTCAGGAATGACAGCTAGAAAACATAGATCTTCCATGCCCTAGAAGACTGCATACTTTCGAGATTTCAAGTTTAATTCAGTTAGTCCAATAAAAGAAAAATCAGAAACATCTTTTATTTGCAACATTAGGTCCATTAAGAAAGAAAAATTTAAGTCCAAACTGACACAGGCGTAAACTAAAAGGGATTCACCAAATAAATCCTATATCACTAGGGGTGAGCATTCGATCGAGTCGAGTCAAAAAATTTCTAGTTATTCGAGTTGAAGAGTCATATTTTACAACTTAAACTTAACTTGAAACTTTTTCCGAATCGAGTTTAAGAAATTTGAGTCGAGTTATTCGAGTTTCTGTACTAATTTTATTATAATTATTTATAGTATTATGGCAAAGATTTGTTCCAATTTTGTGACTTTCTTTAACCATATAATATATATATATATATATATATATATATAAATATTCTTTTCGCGTTATAATGTTATTTAATATATCAAATACAATCTAAAATTATAAAATATATTCATAATGTTATATTTTAAAGAAAGTATTTTGAGGGTGAAATATTGATGAGAGTATAAAGGAGTCAAGGAATTGATGGGAATAAAGAATATGCAAACAATTGTAATCAAAAAACCAAATTGAGTAAAATGCAAAGTCAATCGACTAAATAAAAAATAGAGAGTACATTTTTAGTAAAAATGTAGGAATTAAAGTTACATAGGTATTTTATTGTGGTTCAAATTTGGTAAAAACAAACTTAAAGATAAAGGATGAACAGAAGAAATATGGAAATTATGAAAAATTGAGGGACTAAATTGAAAAATAATTTTTTATCGAAAAGAGGAATTGAAAGTACATATGTATTCTACTATGGTTTAGGAGAATGTAGTTCAAATTTGGTAAAAAACGGACTTAAAATGAATGATGAATTGAAAGAATAATGAAATCAGAGAATAAATCGTAAAACAATCAAAATACTTAGTCAAATTTTCAGTTTTCGAATAACTCAAAATTTAAACTCGACTCAAACTCGAAAACTGAATTTATAATTCGAGTTGACTCGAATATCTCGAAACTGGAAAAAAAAAATTTTGAGTCGAGTCGAATTTTGTTCACCCTTGTATATCACACACATCTAGCTTTTCCATGCTTTTAGTAGATACACTGGTTTAAAGGCAAGTTGCCCAACGCCCTTTAATGTTCCACAATCAAATAGGATATTTAAAGAAGAAAGCATATCGAATGTGTTATATTCTCAAGGGAGTCCACGATGCAGTGAGCGTAATCACAGCTTGGATAAATGCACCACTTGTTACCAGCATGAGGATGAGGAGTAAACTGGAGAGAGAGCAAGATAAAGGATATCAACAATAATTGCATATGTTAACAGGACTCGTGTAAGTAATTAAACATCAATAAGATAAACACTTGATACGATAAGCAATAAGGTCATACATATTAAAGTTATCACTCTGCATATCCTGCTTCATCCTAAGTGTTGCTTTTCCCTCTTCTATCAGACCTCTCTTCATGTCATCAAAGAGTTTTAATGACTCCGCAATTGGTCTATCTCTCCAGGGGCTGTTCATCTTTCCCCCCCCCCCCCTATACTACATTCCAACAGCCAACCACTAAACTAAGTCGAGGAATAAAAAAATTCCATAGAAAGAAATATATAAGTTAAACTGGTTCCATTCACATCCTCATTTTTTCTCCACAACATTACTTTTCTCTTTAATGGTGTCTACACCCTCATCAATCTTAGGACTATTCTTAGGGCCAATTTGATATAACTTTTGAAAAATATAGTGAAAAAATACTTTTAAAAATGGCTTTTAAAAATACTTTTGTTTGTTTAATTTAAAATTTTGAGTGTTTGGGATTACGGTTAAATCATGTTTTAAGTAGGATAATGATCGTTTTAGAATTGCAAATGAATAGAGCCAACGTGACATAAGGATGAAAATACAAATATGCTTTCAAACGCGATTTGGAAATGGAAAATTTGGATTTTCTAACTTTTATAGTTGGTTTAAAATCAACGTTTCAAACGCATTTATCATTTTAAATTTTAGCCGTTTGATATAGTTTTGAATTCATATGCCTCTTTCTTCATAAACAACTTCTTTCGTTTTTGGATCTTCAGCTTTTGTTTTTGTAATGAAGTTCTGAAAGTTGTGAGACCTGACATGGTGGGCAAAATAAAACAAAAATATAACGTTTGATATGATTTTAAAAATAAAAAATTAATTAAAATAAAATAAAAATAATGGTTTAGACCCATGTTTATTTGGGTAGGACTTGATCAACTTCTTGGTCTAGTTCAATGCTGGAGGCTAGACCATTCGTCTTGGTTCAAGCCTCCCAAAACCAAAATTTGGTTTTTATTTTTATGGAATGAGGTGGTCACCATCCTAAATAAAATTATTAACAACACATACAAATTGAATAATAAAAAAAGTTCTTTTGAATATAGAAAAAGGTTGATGTAGCACGATTATTTGAAATCCAAGAAAATATAGCATCATGAAGTTAACAATCACTACTTCTATTCAATGAGAAATAAAATTTATAATTACTAAAATCATAACATCAAGAGTCCCTATACATTTTTTAAATAAAATTTTCCCTTAGAACTATTTTCAAAGATATTTTACATCTAAATTATCAAGAATCATCTTCATTGTTTCATTTTTAACATCGTTAAAAAAATCGATCGATCAGAGCATACTCTGTAACAAATTTTCAAAAAAATTTGATTACATGTTCAATTGTATTTTACTAGAGATGACTTTACTATTTGAATTGAATTGGGAAATTTTTTGAGTTGGTCAATTAAGTCCTATTTAATTTGGGTATTTGCCAAGTTTTTTAAATGCAGTTAACACAATTCAAGATGAATAAATTTGTATACTTAATAATCTGGATCCTATAGTCAAGTCCAAAGTTAGAAATGTATAATAAAAAGACTAGAGCATTAGAACACTTGAATTGCACTCACAACCTAAATCAACAGCTAAACATCAAAGATGGAAACTAGGTTCTTTATACAATATTATTCAGCTTAGGCAAAGAAGAAATTAATGAAGTGCATTTATATGAAATGCAGGGAAAATTCAACATTTATATGAATTTTTCCCGATGGTCAGAAAATTACCATACCTAACGGAAACAATCCATCTGCACAATCAAAACCATTTGTTTGGTTGCTGAGAAATTGTTGGAAACACAGAAAAAAAGGTGGGCAAGTTTAGGTTTTTTTTCTTTCCCTTTTTGAAGTCATCGCGTTTGGATATTCGAACTTGCATTGCCGTTTCCAATGAGCTCAGGAACCTTGTAAGAATCCACCGTCACCTCCGTCAGCTGTAAGCCGGGAAACAACGACTGCGGCCACAAGCAAAGCTCAGTCAAATTGAAGAAGGGCAAAAACAATCGGAAAATCATTACCGGAACGAGTGGAGAAGAAAGATTGAAACTTACATCCAATTCATTTTGAAGATAGCGTCGGCGTTTCTTTGGCCTCTTACGAGGGCGACGCCCAACCATAACCATGAAATCCTCCTCGATCTCTTGCTTCGACAGTGTCACCGAGAATTCCGGCCGTTCCCTTTTCTTCTCGTCAGCCGCCGCCGACACCACCGGTTGTCCTCTGTCTCTTACTCTGAGTGAGTTGATCACCTCATTCCTCGTCGCATAATTGTAGTTGTTGTTCATTCCTCCTCCGTCAATCGGAGCCTTGCACGCCGCGCGCCTCGTCCTGAGATTCCACGGCCTCGCCTTCACTTCCACCGCCGGCGATTTTTCCCTCTCTTTCTCTTTCCGTTTGAGTTTAGGCTCTTCGAATTCGTTCTCACCGGCCTCCACCTCATCACCGTCGGAAGCTTTATCTCTAAAAATTTCATCTTTGATCTTATCTGCCGCCGTTTTAAGATCCTTCATAATCTTCTCCCTGACTGCCTCGATCTCCTCCGCTGCCTCTCCTTTCGTCACCCTAACTCGCCCCTCCCGCCCATAGTCGTTGCTCGGGTACGACTCCGACTCTTGCCGCCTCGTCCCACCAACCATTAACCCCTCAAATTTCGACGACGGAGGAGATCGGCGTCTCTGAACCACATGAAAACGCCGAAGAAGATGAAGATCAACGAAGGAGGAGGAAGAGACGGCGGCGGTGGAAGCATGGCCGAGTTTCATACACCTCAGGTGCCTCTGATTCCCCCACTTCAAACATGGCAGCTTGAAATTGTGAAGAGGATTCAATCTGTGGGATCCCATGGCCATCTCTGTCTCATCAGAATACACCATTGATCTCATAAAAAAAAACAAAGTGCTGACTCAATCTTTAAACACTCGACGGAGAACGCTTCGAGAGTTTATATATATTTGATTTCCCGTTGAGGAATCATTGAGATTTCTGGGGGTGTTTTAGTAATTCGATTCTTCCGTGGACTGCTTCTTGCTAAAGTGCGCCTTGGTTTTAAGATTAGGGGATTTTTTGATGATTTTGTTGGGCGCCTAAAAACGGCGTGACCTGTTAAATAAGTAATCGGTTAAAATTTAAATAAGTTATATTATATCATTTAATCAAAAATATTATTAAGTACAATAATATATTATGTAGCGCTTATATAATGTAATAGGTAGCACTTATAGTAATTTATTTTCTAACTAAACATGTATATTTAAACCGATAACATTACAAATTTACCTATTACATTATAATTATCGGTTTTGTTGTTTTTTGGATTATACAATTTTAAATGTATCGACACTTTATGCTTGCACCTCGTTGTGTTTTCATTTTGGGAAAAAAAATGTTGACACATATTTAAAGAGTGTCGATACATAATGTAAACCTATTTGCTAATTAACCAGTATATTTTTACCGGTTACATTGTATTAAAATATACAATGTTATTTTTTTGTTACTGTAAAGTTTTTGTTCTTTTCTTACTGAGTTTTGCCTAAAATATCCAACTTTTCGTATTAAAAAAATGAAAATTCTGAAATAAAAATAACCACACAAACACACTTTTTTACTACCGGTTTTGTCATTTCGAGATCGATTTTATCATATTTTTACCTGTTATATTGTTATGGATCGATACATTTTTATAAAGCATCGACACTTTATTGGCGCTATAACTTCTATTCTTTTAAATTCCAAAAATGTCGATACTTATAATAAAGTATCGACGCTATCAACATATCCGGTAGCTCTTTACCGGTTTTGTCATTTCGAGATCGATTTTATCATATTTTTACATGTTATATTGTTATAGATCGATACATTTTTATAAAGTATCGACACTTTATTGGCGCTATAACTTCTATTCTTTTAAATTCCAAAAGTGTCGATACTTATAATAAAATATCGACACTATCAACATATCCGTTAGCTCTTTACCAGTTTTGTCATTTTGAGACCGGTTTTATCATATTTTTACATGTTATATTGTTATGGATCGATACATTTTTATAAAGTATCGACACTTTATTCGCGCTATAACTTCTTCTCTTTTAAATTCCAAAAGTGTCGAAACTTGTAATAAAGTATCGACACTATCAACATATCCGGTAGCTCTTTACCGATTTTGTCATTTCGAGACCGGTTTTATCATATTTTACCTGTTATATTGTTATGGATCGATACATTTTTATAAAGTATCGACACTTTATTAACGCTATAACTTCTTCTCTTTTAAATTCCAAAAGTGTCGATACTTATAATAAAGTATCGACACTATCAACATATCCGGTAGCTCTTTACCGGTTTTATCATTTCGAGACCGATTTTATCATATTTTTACCCGTTATATTGTTATGGATCGATACATTTTTATAAAGTATCAATACTTTATTAGCGCTATAACTTATTCTCTTTTAAATTCCAAAAGTGTCGATACTTATAATAAAGTATCGACACTATCAACATATTTGGTAGCTCTTTACGGGTTTTGTTATTTCGAGACCGATTTTATCATATTTTTACCTGTTATATTGTTATGGATCGATACATTTTTATAAAATATCGACACTTTATTAGCGCTTTAACTTCTTCTCTTTTAAATTCTAAAAGTGTCGATACTTATAATAAAATATCGACACTATCAACATATTTGGTAGCTCTTCACCGGTTTTGTCATTTCGAGATCGGTTTTATCATATTTTTACCTGTTATATTGTTATGGATCGATACATTTTTATAAAGTATCGACACTTTCAACATATCCGGTAGCGCTTTACCTGTTTTGTCATTTATAAACCGGTTTTGTCATTTTTTACCTGTTTTATTGTTATTGATCGATACATTTTTATAAAGAAATGACACTTTCAATATATCTGGTAGCGATTTACCTGTTTTGTCATTTATAGACCGATTTTGTCATTTTTTTACCTATTATATTGTTATGGATCGATACATTTTTATAAATTATCGACACTTTCAATATATCCGGTAGCGCTTTACTTGTTTTGTCATTTATAGACCGGTTTTGTCATTTTTTACCAGTTATATTATTATGGATAGATACATTTTTATAAAGTATCGACACTTTCAATATGTCCAGTAGCGCTTTACCTGTTTTGTCATTTATAAACCGGTTTTGTCATTTTTTTTACTTGTTATATTGTTATGGATTAATATATTTTAATAAAGTATCGACACAAACCGACAAACTAAGTTTGCCGGTTGTCAAATTTTTTAATATTTCTTCATAATTTTCACCTATTATATTATTATTACTCGATATTTTCGATAACGCTAAACCGAATTTATCAAATATCTTTTAATATATTCGGTAACGTCGTATATTAACCGTATATTAGTCCGCCTTTCCGGAGACAATCCCGGATTTTGGGCCTTGATACGCAGTTTTGAGTTTGAGGTTGGCGTAACTACCATTTCTCACAGGCACACATAGTAACATCCGCTTAATGATACATAAAACTACAAAATTTTATATTAATTTATAGTTATTAGATTTAAATAAAAAAATAAATTTAATTTAAATTTATAATTTATAAATAAATATCTTTTAAGTAAAACAATCTCTTTTTATTTTAATCTCAAATCTCAAACCCTAAACTACTAAGGGTCAATTTAGTATAACTTTTAAAAAATAATTTTTAAAAGTGATGTAGAAACGAACTTTTAAAAGTATTATATAAAAGTGCAATTTAAAATTTAAGTGTTTAAGATTGTTGTTAAATAGTAAATTTAAAAAGATAAAATGTTCATTATATACATTATGTTGTAAACTAAAAATATAACATTTAAATTATATTTTACAATATATATAAATCATATTAATTTAAACTATAATAAATTTATTAAAAATTATTATTATATATAAATTATATCAATTTAAATTATAACAAAAATAAAAATAAAAAATATAATTATAGTAAAAAAATATATTTTATATAACTCATATTAATATTTTTAATATATAACTTATAAATTTTATTTATTTTTAAATAATTAAAATAAATTATTTTTAAGGATATTAGTATTAAATTATTAAAATAAAATGTAAATACATAATTGAATGAAATTCATACATTAGTAAGAGTAAAATTATAATTTGATTTCAAACGTAAAATTAGAAATGAAAAAGCTAGAAATCCTAGTTTTTGTGGTTGGTTTGAAATCACTATTTCCACTACAATTTTTTTATGTATTTCCCGTTTGGTATAGATTTTACGGTCAAAATAGACTTTTTAGCTAAAAGTATTTTTTGAAAGTTTTACCAAGCAGACCCTAAATTCCAAATACTAAAACTCCTACCCAAACCTCAAACCCTAAATCATAAATTCAATGAAAGCTCAATCACCCTACTGCAACTACTGATGCTTGAACCCATGATCTCTAGGAACAACAACGATTTCTTTTACCATTGAAATAAGTTGGTTCGTGCATATCCATAGTATTTTGATTACGATATATTAGTAAGTTTTTTATAATTTAAAATTTTTGGGTAAATGATATAACTGATCACTTAGCTATTGTCCCTTTATATTTTGACCATTATTTTCAAAAATTTTATCAATTAAATCACTCAACTATTTAAATACATTCAATCAAGCGACATGCCATTAATATTTGACGAAAATGCTGATGCGAAAATTAATAAAATAGGTATAATTACATATTTGATCCTCAATACTTATATGTTTTATCAATTTATCATAATTTTAATTTAATTTAATTTAATAAATTTAATTATCTAATCAGTGACATTTATCATCTAATTATTTTTAATTATTTTTTCTTTCAAACTAGATACTGAAACGTGGTATAATCTAATTGAATGAAGAATAAATTAAAAAGAATACCATTTAAAGGGCTAAAGAGGTCTTGTACCCTGGTCTAGGATATGGAGTGCGCACCATAACCATTTATCCCAAACATTTGTGTTGTGAAATACACAATACTATATATATTTTATACTTTAATTAATACAAAAAGAAAAGAAAATGGTAGTGGTAGGATTTGAACCTGGACCAATTGTATGACTTAATAGCACAAAATCATTGAAACAAATATTTAATTAGTATTTAGATAGATTACATATATAGATATATTTTAAACACTAGTTTATACAAAATTAAAAGAAATTAAATTTAAGTTTTGCACACATTAAAACTGATTTCTAATTACACATTTTAACTATACAATTCGATAAAAAATCAATTAAAATATAAATAATTAGTATATATTTTTGATAAAAAGTAAAATATGGAATAAAAAAGAGTATCAATTTTTAGACTATATTTATAATCATTAAACTATAAATGTTAAACATTACTTTATACAAAAATAAAAAAATTAAATTTAAGATTTACACATGTAGACACTCATTTTCGTCCGGAGTTTTTTTATATATCATAATATCGGATATTTTATTTGAAAGAATTTTTTACATTTTTTGAAACATAGTTTTTTTAAAAATTGGTTTTTGAAATATATATAATATAAAAATTTTGAAAACATTTTGAAAACTTATATAATATATAGTTTTTGAAAACTTATATGATATATAGTTTTGAAAACATTTTGAAAACTTATATAATATATAGTTTTGAAAACATTTTTTAAAAAACATATATAATATATAGTTTTGAAAACATTTTGAAAGCTTATATAATATATAGTTTTGAAAACATTTTGAAAACTTATATAATATATAGTTTTGAATTTTTTTTAAAAAACATATATAATATATAGTTTTGAAAACATTTTGAAAACATATATATAATATATAGTTTTTTAAACATTTTTATATAGTTTTGAAAGTGTTTTTACAATTTTGAAAACGTTTTAGAAAATATATATAATATATATTTGTTTTAAAAAAATACTCTTTTTATTT